TCCTAGTCTCACTACAGCAAAGTTCGTTGTAGTGGTATTCTTAAGAGCACCCAAGTTACATTCTTAATTCTAAATTAAGGAACAATTGGTGGCCAAACACTTTCAATAAAAAAGGACAATTAAAGTAGGAACAAGCATTTAAAAGAATTTGGATTGGACAAGGGATTTGGAAACTTAAGCACTAGAATTGATCCATATGACATTAGGATGTTATGAAAAATCCTCCAACATGTAGAGATAGTAATATCTTTGTCCATTTTGCTGACTTTGATGACAAACTATATTAAAATGTATGTTCATATGCATGCATTTGTATGCCAGCGCATTGGAGTAAAACTGTACACTCCTAAAATATATCCCTTTGTATAGGAATTTGAAAAAGGATAAGCACTAACAATAGTTCTAAAACATAGTTCTTCTAATGTCCCATTATCCAAATTGGGATTGAGAGTTACTGGAAAACAAGGACCATGTCTGAAAAGTAGGGTCCATTTAAGCATGTGCAAAGATTTGATTAATATACAGAATAAGAGTAGTCTAAACCAATTGGAATGTTTCCCAGCAATGCCACTCTCTAAAAAGAATTGTAAATCTGAAGCATCTGAACAAATTTTTAGCCACAATTGACAACTTATTTAATAAGCCATTAATGACCTATTAGAACAGATAAGAGCACATAAAAGACAGTGAAAGCTATTTAAAATGAGGTCTCTTAATGGTAGGCATAGGAGTAAGGCATTGCATATTTTTATCCTGGACAGCTGTTTGACAAGCATACTTGTGGAGCCAAAGAATCCTAATGAAAAATATTGGCACCCTATAGGAAAATGAAGGTGGGACTTAGGAGCTCTGCTGAATGTTCAGGATTCAACATATTCTCATTATTGCTATTAAACAGCTGTACAAAGCTAGCTTGATATAAAATGTTTGGAAACATGAATGTTTATGGAGTGAAAACCCAAAGATTCATATAATGGGATGCAGAAAATAAAGAGAGAGAAAGGGCATGTTTTACATCCTGTTCCTTGACACATTTCTCTTTTTTACAGTTGTGGCTGGGCCATCAAAGCACTTATCCTTGGTGGAGCCAGAATACCCACTATCTGGAGGAGCAACCATTTTTGGTGGAACTATTATCTGAATGTGATGGCCACAAAGTGGATAGCCCTCTCCTTCCTCCTCCCCTTCCCCCCAAGCGCTGCACTCCAGTGGAGCTTCCTTGTGCTCTAGAACTGTCCTTGGATGATTATCTAATATTGGATAAAAATGTGATGCCTTGCTGCTTAGGAGGAAATGGCTCCCCGTTTTCGCTGGGTAGCCAGAGCAGCGAGGATTCAGACCTGGGGCTGGTTGAAGAAGCAAGAATTACAGAGCCCAGCCAAGCTTCTTCTAGCTTTGAGTACACTGTGTTTGATCCCAGTTCCGAAAGTCTCTCTCCACAAGGCCACCAGGCAGAGCTCCAGTTCAAAAGCAGCTACCAGATGGTGTCCGACTCAGGGATCTCTGCTGACTACAGCCTTGTGGACTCCACTGCTGGCCCCACCAGTCTTTACACCAACATCTGTGATAGAGCACCAGCATCATCTTTTCTGCCTACCTATATTACATGTTCATAGCTTTAACAAGCATGGAACCAGTGAACAAGTCAAAGAACTGAAGCAGAAAGGTACCAGCCCAGCTGTCCCATACCATTTTTGCTCTTCCCAGGAGAAAAAGCTTCAATAATGGGAAAGCTATTGATTACCACAACTGCTCTGGCTGGCCAAGCTGCTCCTATAGAGGAAAAGCGATTTATAAAAAGGATGGGGAAAAATGGATAAAAGGCAGGCAGCATAATTGCCTTCACGATTATGCACTGAACCTATTAACATTACTTTTGATCATGACTTTGTTTGCTCTCATACAAACCTTTGAAGCTGTTAAACTTAATCAAGAGGCATTTGGGGGGTATAGGGTAGCAGCTTTCCAGCCAGCTGTAACTATCAGACCCAACACTCCATATCAAGATTGGACGGTGTTCTCTTTATGTCATCTCAAAGAGTAAGGAGAGGAATATAACAAGTTTTCTTTGGTTCTGTCTTTGCCTTTCTAAGTTCTTGGGTCAGGCTGATTACTTATTTTTTTAAAAAATGAAAAATCTATTTTCATGATGTATTATAAAAAACAAGTGTTTTAGATATACCATCTGGGCCTGGGCCAGGAGACTGCAGGATTTTTTTCCAGCAGCAGAAAAGAAGCAAAATTCAGGGACTGGAGCAAGAATTCTTACAAATTAAGGATGTCTGGAGTTTCAGTTCAACTGCAATTCACTCAGTGACTTTTGCTTCCCCATCTACAAAATCTGGCTAAAATATTAAGGAAATATCTGATAGACAAGATGTCCCAATTATCAGATTTCTAGAGCACTGCTTTGGTATTCCACCAGCTGTTTACTGTCACTGTGTATGGGTTGTTTAGAAAATTACTGTTATTTGTCCTTGCAAGGATGACTTATGATGTTCATGCTATTCTAGACAAGTCCCTTGTGTTGAGTTCCTTCAAAATCAGCACACTGGATTGAAATCACAGGTGTTTCAGACCAAGACTTTAAGTGTTATTGACATGCCTACATAGTATTTTTTGTAATTATTAAGATAATTTAGACTGGAAATGTGTGTGTTTAACTTAGATCTTTAAAAATAAAGGCCCTTGTGTTCTAACTAGAGAGAATTGAAAAAGGATACAACTTTATTATCTTACATTTATTAGTGTTTTCTCATTTCTTCCTCCAGCCCTTATCACTTCATATGGTTAGTTTTTCTTTGCATCACATAGCTGGTGAACATGGGTTTCTTTTGTCTTGTGAACCAATGTGTAGATCAGCACTTGATCAGACCCTCAGAGCAGCAGTCCAGGTTGCAGGATTAAAAGAAAAACAGGAAAATGTTGTTCAAGTCAGGTCCCACTCCAGGTGACTTTGTGGATAGAACTATGCAATTTCTTGCTGATGGTACAGAAGTGATTCTTTCTAAGATGATTTTGTTTTACTTTCCAAACTAGTCTACAGTCCAGGGATTTGGGCAATTTTATCTGATAGAATTCTCCCATTTATGGCTCTAACCAGCCAAGAACAGACCTGAATTGATCATGGGCTACTTAGTAATGGCTTAGTGATGTGTGAACCTAGTCATTTTGTTTTATAAACTGTTTTATATAGTTCAAGGTGTTGGGCAAACCCAGATGCTAAATAGGCCATAGTTTAAGGTGGTAGTTGAAACAGATGATTGTAGTTAAGACTTCCTTAACCAGATACAATAGGCAGGCCATCTTTTCAGCTGTAAGTCACATCCATTACCAGCTGAGAACTGCACTGTGAGACATACAAAGCAATAGCACTTAGCAATAGCACTTAGATTTATATACCACTTCAAAGTGCTTTCTAAGCAGAGTCATACTTCTCTGGTCTTTATCAAGCTGTCATCTCCCCTCCCCATTTCCCATCACATCCCCATACATGTTTATTGCCCATTTGCTCTCCCGTGCCCCCTCTCCCCTTTGCCAAACTAAAGATGGCAGACCTGACAATTATTAAAAATATAAAAACAATCCATATTTAAAATACACATTACCTGGCACAAGAGAGAATAGGCATTAACAATGATGGAACCATCTTAAAATGTCACCAGTCCACTGGGACCCACCCACCCTCGCGACCTATTGACATAGCCCGGTCTCATTCTGGCTGCAGAATTCTGGGAGTCGAAGTCCACACATCTTAACATTGTTGAGTTTGAGAAACATTGCTCTACTCCATTAGGATGTTAAGCAGATCTATTCTATCCCCATTGTTTCTCCCCAAATAACCTCCACAGCCTTGCTAGTACTGCCAAACCAGCTGGAACTCAGTGCAAGCAAGTTCTTGCTGGCACATTCTGAGTTCACAGGTTTCGATTCAATTTTGTAAAAAGCACACAGGAAGGTGAGAGAGGAGGCAATCTCTGAAGATTTCAGCTTCTGATCTTACATTCAGGAACTGTTACATCTAACCTCACACCCTTTGAACAGCACACTGGAGTCCTGGGTTTGGCCTTGCTTAATGGTAATGATAGTTTCTAACAGTGTAACAGAAGCCTCTTTGCAGCCACTATCAGGGATGCAGCTTTTCAGCTCTGCTGGCTGATACACCACATATTCTTCTGGGTAAACTGAGAATTTTAGCTGCCAAACATACCTCAAAATTGGGTTCAGCTTGTTTTTTTTAATCAATAAAATTTAGGCATGATAAATGATTTGGGGTGGATTAGAGATGGCAATTATAAAAATAATTACTTTTTAAAAATACATGTTCCCATACTCATGTATTAGCCTCTCTGCAAATAAGCAGACTCTAATTTTTATCAAAATACCATGAGAAATGCAGGGCAGCCTAACTGCAGTGGCACATTGTTCATGGTATTTTGGTTAAAAATCCAAGACTCAGCTTATCCACAAGTACAAACGGTAGTTTTAGATGAGGAAGGTTATAGTAATGCCATTCCTCCAAGACAGGATTCCCCAAAGTAATCAGTATCAACTCCAAAAGGTCAATGAAACCATCTAAGAGTATTATTTCTTGTAGTGCTATTAAAATAACAGTACTGTATTTATTATTTTCATATAATTGGGGATCAATGATGATCTGAAAAGGTTGAAGAGTTGAAGAACCCTGCCCTGAGAGTCATATGCATGACGACTTTGCCCTATTTCTTAAACATCATTCTCTATCTGCACTCAGATAATCTCTGCCTGTCTTCTGCACTTCAAACTTTGTTTTCTACCTTGGGCCAGCTCAAGTGGTGCTGCCTGGCTTGATTGCCGTGTCCCGTCTCACTGCAGGCAGTCCCCTACATTCCCATTGGCTAATGGAAGATCCTTACCCCTCTGGTAATTGTCTTCCATTGCCATTTTTTTTCACAGGTTCACCAGAACAGCAGCAAAAGCTGCATTTTAGGTAAGTGTGTGTCTGAAATTGTGGTATTAAAAATATTTTTACAAGTTCACTAATAGAGCAATGAAAGGGATGGCCCTTTTTTATTGATTCAAGGAAGATAAGCAGGAAAATCCACTGATCAGGGTCTATGTAAACATAATGCCCAGTGATTATCAGGCCATCACTTTAGCTAAAATCTGAATAAAGGATGCCTTAATCTGGCTTCATTTCCAAACAGGCAGTTTGGAAATAGCAGCTGGAGGGCCTGTGTCAAAAGGCCCTGTTGAAACTCGCCAAGAAGACATTTTAGAAGGCTTCTCCTACATGGCTTCCTGAAAGAACCTAGGACAATTACTGTGCAAAGTATAGTCTATTATGGGACCCCCTTCCTTTCTTCCAAGGGCTAACAAATCCATGGCAATGAGAAGAAATTGAAGCAGCCCAAGCCACCACCCCTTCCACAGGAATCACAGTGCAGAGAATACTCTCCTAACTGCCCAAATAGCATACCAGCTACCTCCAACTTTGTGCAACAATAAAATTGATTACATTTCTTTTGTCAACTTGCCAGTTCAGTCTAAATAAAATACCCAAACTTTGATTTTTTTTAAAAAAAAAACCACATTCTGTATTAATGGAATGTGTGTTTGATGAAAGGATTGTTCAGAAGTCCTTAAGACCGGGAGTTAGACAGAATGGTATCAACTTCAGAAACAGAAAGCCTATTTTCAGAAACTGTTTCATTCTCAGTTTCATTTTTGCAAGGCAATGGAGAGATTGTCATGCTACCTTGTGTGTCAAATTTCACTATCCATTCTTGATCCTTTGTCCCTGGCTGGAAGAGTTGTGCCCTAATCAGCTTGGTTAAACCTTGATTATGTAAACCAACATCTTTCCCAGTGTCCGGATGTAGCCACAATTTTGCTGGGAAGTAGCGTTCAATGGCTGAGAAATTTTCTACTTCTTCTCCAGCTTCTCCCAGAAACCTCATGGAAACAATCAGTTGGCAACCCACAGACAAATGGCTACGTTTCTGAGTGAAGTGACTAGATGTGTCCAGCAACAGGGCTACAAGCTTGGCTGCTGTACAGGCACTGGAACAACTGTTCAGGTACTCTTCCAAACCATCCAGCACAATCATGGAGGGGCTATTAGGTAAGGTTTGGTGCAGGGAGGCCACCAGTTGAACTAGCTCCTGGAAGGAAGACGGGTACAGGAAATGGATTTTCTTGAGAGAGGAAAAAAAAAACACATTAGTGACCAAGAATGTTAGACACAAAGTCATGACAGATATCAGGATGGCCTTTGTAAAAACACTTTCCTTAAATCATGGCAGATACTGAAAAGCTGAAACTCACAATTCACATCTTGCAAGACATGCCCAGCACTGGGCTAGAGGCACTAATTTTGAAACCCATTCCCATCGTAGGTGTTATCAGACAGAAAATGTGCCTTTGTATTTAACAGATGTTTAACCTCATTCTATGTACTAATCATTTGAGACCCATGGGTCCATTTGTTTAAGTCTACAAATATTTTTCTGAAATATATATGAAATTATTTCCCTTCCCAATAATATTCTTCCAGACAAACTTTCTGCAAAGAGATCAATCAACATAGAGAAAATATGTTGGCTTTCTCCCAGGCTTTCTGGAGTCCCAGAGAATGAAGCTAAGTCTCCCAAAATTCCGGTGATATCCCTCATCTCCACCCGCATGACTAAAGTCATAGGAAATTTTGAAGGAGAAAAAATTGCTACCTGTTAAATGTAAAATAACAACCCGGTAAATTCCCATCAATTCATAGTTAGACTGTTTATCTTGCGTACTGCAGGAACAACCCTTTTCCAGTTTCCACACGGGCTGAGAACTGCAAAGCCTACCCCCATTTCATTCACACCTGGATCGCTCCTCCTCCAGCTGCTTTCCCGCCCGGAAGCCGCTCCAGGGCCCGCGGTGCCAAAAACAACACGCGAGGCGAGGACACAATGGAAGCACCTGCTAGTGCTGCGCGGAACAACAGTGTGGAACGACCCGAGCCGGGAGGACCGAGAAGCAGCAGCGGCCGCGGCCGAGATCCAACCGGTACCGCTCCCGCCATCTCCAACTCCAGCAACTCGGCTGACATAGCCAGAGCAGAACCTAATTAGAAGCCCGGCCTCACAGCAACCAATCCAAAGCCTGCATTACGGTGAGTCGGCCAATGATTATTGGCGCCAATGTAGCCGTATTCAGGAGGGACACAAACAACGTCAATAATTTAAGCCAATCAGAAACGACAGTTACCGAAAGGCGGCCAATCCTTGTATAGGTTTTTAGAACTTTCTGACACGTAGATTGGAACGTGACGCCGAGAAAGACATTCTCAAGAATGATGAGCGCCGCTTGATTCCCGCGTTTCCCCAAAGGTTGAGTTGTGATGACTTAACGTACGAACTGTGACCACGCTGCGATTTTTCGAGTGCCGATTTCGGGATTAATTTTTAATAAAATGACGTTTGGTCCATTTCCTTGGGCGCTTGATTGGTTTCTTCTTTAGCGCTGTTCTAAGAACTGTTACCGAAAGGTACGGAGGAAGCACGGAGCAGGAAAGTTTGGCAACTTTACCGTCTTTTACAATATGTGGCTGCCTGAGATGCTTTACCATGGGCTGATTGAATGGCAAATTCACTGGGAAAAAATGCAGCTGTTCCTCAGAAACGCCTGCATTTGGCCAGATAGAGGATTAAGATATTTAAGCAGAAATATGGACAAGGCGGGGTATGCAAAGGATCCTGGTAGAATAGAAATAGTGGGGTGGAGTCCGCACTAGATGCACATGTAAATGGGAAGGAGACCATAATGATGGTATTATGTATCTCGGTACCTGTGGTAGAGGGACTATTAATACTATGGCTTTTTGAGGCATCTGGTTGGTCATGGTATAATTACTACTTGAGTCAACAGGTGTTTCTTTTAGTGTTCATGTTGGTAGTAGAACTGTTCAGTTTACAAGACTATAACCTGCATCTAAACAGCCTTTCGAGAAACAAAAGAGTATCACCAATCATCTTGTTGCATGACATACTAATTTTTGGACAAGGGAGCCATTCTTGTTTGTTCTGTGATTCCTATCACATCAAATCTAAGTGTCCAGAGTCGCCTTACTGGGGAGATGGGCAGCATATACAATTAATAAATAAATCTCATTTCCTTAATGAACCCTTTAAGTTAGACAAGCCTTCAGGCTTGTTGGGGAGTCTCCCTTGATTGTTGATGTTTTATCTAACAATAACTACTTTTAATTAAATGTACTTTGGCACATTTTAGTCTTGCTTATTCTAAGCCTTAGGGGATGAATTGAGAAATCTATTCATATTTCTCAAAAGAAATTAAAATATGAGGGAACTGGAATTTGTTCCATTAGTTATTTTGGTTTTAAAATATTTCTAGTGATTTGATATACAAAGGCATCTCTTTCTGTATAAGGCAGACATGTCAAACACAAGAATGCAGCCTGCGAAGTGGTTTCATGTGGCCCGCGAAGCCATCCTGGAAACAATGAGGGAATGGCCTCCGCTGCCTTGGCCCTGGCCCAGGCCGGCCGGGAGCCAATGTAGGTGGCCTATCCTGGGGGTCTCCCATCCTATTGCTAAGGAAGCTTTGGATACAAAGCCGGGTCTCCTCCCATGGAGAGGGAATGGGCCTCCCTCTGACTTTGCCCTTGTACCCATCATGAGCAACCTGGCTAAGGAGAGCAAGCACAGCAGCAGCAGCCTTGAGGAGGAGGTAAATGCAGCTGGGCGCCCCCTTGGGGAAGTGCAGCTGGGCTTGGTGCCGCGGGTGCTTGAGGGCCAGGCTGGGCATTTGACCTCTATTGCCCAGGGCTCTGGGCAGCCCGCACCACCATGCAGCCCCCCCGCATGGCCTTAGAGGAACAGTGAGGCTCCTCCAGTGGACCATGCCTTGGCACTTGCCCTGGTCCCACCCCCTTCTGCCAGAGACCCTCAGATGTGTCCCACTCCTGCCCAGGCCCCCACAGGCACCCTTGACACGAACGATGTAGAGTTGGCCATGCCCACCCAATAGGCCACATCCACTCCGTCCACGCCCACCCAGTAGGCCGCATCTACCCTGGCCACACCCATCCACCCCCCTTCCCGAGAGCAACCGCAATGCTGATGCGGCCCTCAATGAAATTGAGTTTGACACCCCTGGTATAAGATATGCCTGCACAACCATCTGTGGCCACAAAGCAGTCTTGTGCCACCTGCCAGTGAGTTTTGAAAAATAACCAATCCGCTGCTACCAAACATCATCACCACTAGTATGGATTTATCAATGCTTAGGTTCCAGCAGCCCCTTCTGCTTCAAAAGACATGCTGCTGAGCACCTCCAACATCTCCAGACCTCACAGAGGCTCTGCTGCTAGTCACCAAACAGCTGTTGCTTCCTTTGTGGCTCACAATTGTTTTTAAGGTGTGAATCTACCCCTTTGCCCTCTTGAAGTGTGTAAATATGATAAAGGGTGAAATAAATAGCACATCTCAGTATACCCCACCATTATATTTATGAACATAGGATTTTTAAACACCATTAGTCAAGTAGGGATTTTTTAAAAGAACAATCTATGGATGAGGAAATTTATCTTTCCTAACAAAAACAAGTGTATGTTTTGAACGGTCAGAATATCTTATCAGATAATTCTTGAAAACTCCAAATAAGTGGCAAATTACCTAAATTGGGGTTCTCAAGTGAGATGTGGATGCACCTGAAAGATCATGCAAAGGTAGCTCATAAACAAAGAATTTTTGACATAGAATTACAAAGAGAACATACCAAGAAGTCAAACAGGGCACAGCAAATTTTATTTTAAATCAACATTATATGTGGCCCAACTTACAAATAACAAACTTTAGAGGGCCTTTATTGCAGTTTAATATACATCAGCAGTATTGAAAGATAAATACCACAACATTTCATCACTTGTGTTAAAAACTCATATCCAAAAGGTTTTTACTCATTGTGCCCACTGTGAATATAATCAATTGGTGCAACACCCTTGTGATTATAGCCAAAGCCAGTTTGTTATAGTGGTTAAGGCACCAGGTTAAAAACTGGAAGACCAAGTGTTCTAGTCTTGCTTGAGGTATGAAGCCAGCTGCATAACTTTGGGCCAATCATTTTCTGTCAGCCCTGGGAAGAAGGCAAGGGCAAGCCACTTCCAAATCTTGCCAATAAACTGCAGGGACTAGTCCAGGCAGTCGCCAGGAATCATAACTGACCCCAAAGCACCAACATACATTCAAGAGGTATCTGTCAACAACTGATTTAATGAGAAAAAAAAGTAAGACAGCCACAATAAGTTAACATTGTATATTGGTGCACAAAACAAACCTGTTGGCAAAAACTTTTTGCCAGGCAAAAAAGGAACAAGAGCCAAGTCCCCAACACTGAAAGACTTTGTTCCTACAAAGATAGGAGCATTGAATCATGGGATCATATTTGCTGTATTGTAATTTTTACCAAGACATCTACAGTACTACCATTTCTTCCTAGCCCCAAAGTATTCTATATGCAGCTTCTTTGGACAAATAAATATCCCAATATAACTTTTCTTGTTGCAGATTTTGTATTTGTAGCCTGTAGAAAATGTGCATTGTTGACAGCAAAATAGACAAATTATGACAACAGATATTTTTATCATGCATGTTATAATTTGTATTACATATTTTAATGAAGTCTGGGTCAGTGACCTATACTAAAGTTTTACTTAACTTGACTCTGAAAATAAAGAGGCTGTTGGAAGCTGTTTGGAAGCTGTTTTGTATAAAATCCTCTTCATTTTATTGTAGAAATGATATGCTCAGAAACATCCAGATTGGAACAAAGTACTTGAAGATGTTCTATGTTCTCCATTTTTGATTATCTTTTTCCAGCATCAAGATGTCTGAAATTGTTTATTTCAATCTATTCCAATGCAGTATTGTCACCCCCCTCTATACTTTGTATTTTAGTACAGTACTGATTGTATGTGTTTTTTAAGTATTTCAAATTTGCAGCAGGATGAATTGACTTCAACAACATTTCATCTTATTAGACTTTATTGTGATCAGGAAACGGTGCAAAAGATCGATTACAACTACTTTAATATATTCCCCCCCCCCGAAGAAATGCCTTTAGCTAACGCTTTGAAACACTTCCAGGTTTTCTTCTGAAAGAGGGAACATTCTATAAGAGCACTTTGTTTTTCCCCTATTTATCTGAAAATTTCTGCTCCCACCTTCAGGTAGGAAATTGGAAAAGAAACTTCACCATTGCTTCTCCTCCAAATCCACCGCTACCGCTGCGACGATTCTCCACGTTAAAGTGCTTTGATTGACGTACCATTCACAGAGCCTTCACCTACCGCCTTCAACCACCCACACAGCAACTGCCTTTGTTCCACCCGCTCCAATCGCAGCTGCACGTGGGAGAGAGAGGAACTAGAAGCCCTCGAAAAGGCCGTGGCTCTCTGGGCGGAGGCGGGGCCACTTTCGGTAGCAGTTTCCTGGGTCAAGGGCGGCTTCCAGCCTCTCAGAAGAGCTGCCAATCACCCATTGTGCTGCCCAGCAATCACGTTGCTTAGTGATTGCCGAGCTGGTTGCCAGGTTACACAAGAAATTCCTTTCAGGGTGCCAATGGGTGGACTTTTATAGTTATGAAACCAGACTATCCCTCCCCCATCTCTTCTCTCCCTAAATTCATGCCACCAACCCACTTAGAGTGCTATATTGGTGTCTGATTATGTTTTCAGCAATACTTAGCCATTTAGATACCCTACCTTGGAGAGAACTCTCAGATGGGGAGGGGGGTTTCTGTTTAACTGTTTTTGGAGGTTCTGGCTAGCCAACACCACACTGCAAGGTCACTTTTCTGCTAACTTAGTGTGTCTAGATGACGCTCTCCCTCGACTTCAATCTTAGCAACCCAATGGGAACACACAGGCCCAAATCTGTTGACGCATCCACCTGTAGTAGGAATTTGTGTTTGAAGCAGCCCCCATATGATAATCCCTCAGTCTGATTTTAGTTTTTCCAACCCAACAGAATGTTGGAAAGAAGTTATGTAAATGGACTGGGGACCATGTCTGCCTCTCTTCATCAGCATAATCAAAAAAATAGGACCAAATTTGGTATGGCAGGCCAAAGAAAAATCAAGTCGACCATGGTCTGCATCCAGCTGGGGATTTAGGAGAAAAGAAATCCTGAAGGAATCCACCCAGTGCACTTGGGCAACGGCTCTGAGGGTTGCTGGCTGCTCCATTCTTAGCCTAATTCTTCCTGGCTGCCTGGCACAGGCTGGAGCAGAAAGAATTGT